TAATACAAAAAAGATCATGCTAAATCTGAAGGAGAGACACTAATTTCTTCTTCTTCCTCTTTAATCCTGCTGCTCAAGCAAAAGGAAGAAAAATGTCGAAGACCCAATGGGACCTCTCGATTTCGCGATAAAAAGGAGGCGGGGATGCGACTCTTTGTGAAACAACAAATCTGTCCGTTGAATAGTTCCCCATTCACGAATCGGATGGCGAGAGGCAAAGCAAAGCATCGCTTCACGAGAGCAGGTGGACGGGAGAGGGATCGGGAGGTAGGAGTGAAATTGGGCTCAAACTAACAAATCTCCCACTTGGAGACCGATACATATGCTACAACATCTTCTTCATCGAATTGATATCCTCCACTAGCGGCGTTGCCTTTTTTTTCTTCAAACGTGAATCCTCCACCTCTACAACTCAAAAGTCATTGTCTTCATACCAGAAGATCAACTGAAGTTGTGCACAACTTCAGTTTCTCAAGAGTAACACTCTTAGTCAACATATCAGTAGTGTCCACATAGTCTTGCACCTTCAAGCTATTTCCTGGGTTACTCTTGTCTCTGCTTACAACTCCCACTACATATGCAATATCCTGCCTCTACTGAAAGCATTTTTCAACAAGTCTAGCCTTATACCTCGTACTGTCATCACGCTCAGTCTTCATCCGATACACCCACTTATTGTGTAATGTCTTCTTTTGCAGTGGAAGTTCTATTAACTTTTACTTGCTTAAACTTTCATCTTGTAAGATTTCTCCATAGCTCTGTGGTTCTCCACCATCTATCTGTGGAAGAATAGAAATGGGTGCCCCGGACCCACTCTCCTCTACTCTTCTCTTCACTTCCATCATCAGCAGAACTATGAACTGCCAGCAATAGTGCATCATATATTTCTTCAGATACCACATTTGCGCTATCAGTATCCATCTTCTTGGTATTTATGCATTTCCTCTTTATGTGATCAGCCTTGCCACAATTTCAGCAGGTTGTCTGCTGACCAAATTTTGATTTTGATCTCCCTCTATTTGAGTTCCTGTCCTATCATCTCCCTTTAAAATCAACATTCAGTGTCGAACTCGTACTTGAGATCTCCTCAAAATCTTTCCTGCGCACATCCTCAGCCAAAATCAAATCACGAATATCATCACATTTCAATTTAGATTTACCTACACACCTGCTAACTGTCATCCTCGTGGCTTCCTAACTATTTGACATTGATGACAACAATATCAGTGCACATATCTCATTATCAAAATCAATTTCAACAGACGACAATTGATTTGTGATAATATTGAAATCATTCAGGTGTTGAGCAACAGAAACACCTTCCGCCATCTTCAAGTTGAATAACTTCTTCATCAAGTACATCTTGTTATTCGCCGATGAATTTTCATACAAACCTGATAAGACTGTCATAAGATCACCTCCTTCATGACGTTATGTGCAACAAACATCGATAGAGTCAATTGAATAATCTCCAAAACTTTTCGATCCAACAAATTTCATTCAGCATCATCCATTATTTCAGGTCTTTTCCCCAATAACGGAAGATGAAGTTTCTTCCCATAGAGGTAGTTATTTATCTGCATCCTCGAATAATTTAAATCTGTGCTATCAAATTTCTCGATCTCTGAAGCCTTCACTTCATTTGCATCCATCATTCTTCCTCAGATATGAAACACGTCTTTGATATCAGTTATTGTGGTATATATATATAAATAAATAGAAGAACGATCTTTGACGAAGCGAAAAATAGAACGAGAAAAGTCACACTAGAAAACAGTAACACAGTGAAACACAAATTTATGTGGCAAATTGCCTACGTCCATGGATTTGCAAATGAATTTTACTACTTAAGGAATTTACACAAGTCGATCGTCTCAACTTACACGAGTGAACTCTTTCTCTCACTTCTCTACTCTTCTCTCTCTACACTGAAACACACCGAAGAGGATAAACGTACAAGAGAAAAAAACTCAAGTTTTCTTCTACCACAAGCCACTAAGAAAAATCTAAGAGAGGACAACCTTCTTCTTCTTTCTTCTTTTTCTACAGCATGGAACTACTGTTTGCACTTTATCTTCATTTATCCCGAGGAAGCCCGAAGAAGAACACCAAAAAAGGTCATGCTAAATCTAAAAGAGAGACATTAATTTCTTCTTCTTCATCTTTAATCCTGTTGCTCAAGCAAAAGGAAGAAAAATGTCGAAGACCCAATGAGTCCTCTCAGTTTCGCGATAAAAAGGAGGAGGAGGGTGCGACCCTTTATGAAACAACGTAACTGTTCGCGGGAACAGTTCCTCATTCGCGAATTGGATGGAGAGAGGCGAAGCGAAGCATCGCTTCGCAGGAGCAGGCGGAAGGGAGCGAGATCGGGAGTCGGGAGTGAAATCGGGCTCCAACTAACAAATAAAGGCGGAACTAGTATTTTTTTTATAAATATTGGGCAAAAAAATATTATTGAGCTGAGACAAAATAATTAAATTACCTAAACTACATAAAAAAAAATATATTTAATTTTACTATTTATATAGAAAAATTCTAGAAGGGCAATTGGACTTAAGTTGATTACTCATTGGGCGGCGGTCATTTAAAGAAGATGAATTATCGCCACCGGCCAAGCATTATAATACAAAATGATGCTTAAAGATACATTAATTCATAACCAATATCATTATTAGAAGTCAACTAATAATAATCTACTCTCCACCTAAAATGAACCCATAACAGCTGGCTTTTAATAGAAAATTCCAATTGCAAGTTGGAGCCCTTCTGATTGTATTGTTCCAAATTCATTGTCCACAAGACATTGCACTTTAACAACCATATTAATTCAAAATAACTTCAAAAGATAAAAGTAATTTGCATAAATACCACACAATTCTTAGCGATTTATAAATCTAACCTCTAAAATTTAATTTTTTACATTTATAAATATTTAGTATTAAGAATTTATGCATCAAAATGTGTACTTCACTGCTCAAAAGTTAGGAGTGATTTTTTTTTTTTTTTTTGTTTGTGATGGAAATATTTTACTAGAACTAAATTATTATATTCGTGATGATTATATCCGTGACAGGGTTGGTGTAGCTCTTGTGATGGGCAAAATTAGAGAAAGTCGTCTTAGATGGTTTGGTCACATTAAACATCGACCATCTGAGGATCCGATTATGAGAGTAGATGCTTTAGATTCGACTTGTGTTAAGAAAAGCAGAGGTGGACCTATGAAGACTTGGGCTTATTGTATAAAAAATGATTTTAATTTACTAGAACTGAATGAAAATATAACACTAAATAGAACGCAATGGAGAAAAGGATTCATGTGGCCGACCACACGTAGTGGGATTAAGGCTTTGTTGTTGTTGTTGTTGTAGTTGTTGTTGTTGTTGTGATGAAAATAATTTGATGTAAATATATAAGAGTTGGTTTGACAATATTTTTCTCTATTAATTTTTTTGTCGAAGACGTATTTGAAAATACTTTTGACGAAATAAGAAAAAGAAAATAAGTAGGTATTGATGCATATGGGTTATATAAACTTTATTTTAAAATTAAAATAAAACTATGATTATGAATCTATCGATAGAATACAACTAGTACAAACTTCAATTAATGTAGAGATTAGGGTTGTAAACAAGCCGAGTGGCTCGTGTTCAGCTCGTTCGAAATTGTTAATATTCAAAATCAGTTTGAGTTGAAAACCGGCTCGTGAACGGTGTGTTCTTGTTCGGCTCGATTTAAATATTCGTGTCTGTGTTTGACTCGTTAAAATTAAACTGAAAAAATAGATATAGAGTGTTGGATTCTAACCATGATCAAATATATGCAAAAGAAGATACATAATCGCATTACCACAAGAATATATATGTTTTAAATTTAGATATAAATTTATATAATATATTGTTATATAAATAATACATGTAATATATTATTATATAAATAATTATATAATTTTTTTATTTCGAGCTAAAACGAGTTAAACACGAACTACTTAACGAGTCGAACACAAGCTATTCGTGAACAACGAGCTTTTTTGACTAGTAGAGATATAATCAAAGAGACAACATGCTCTCTAATTTTTAGAATAGGGAAAATAAAATTGAGTTTGATTTATGACCCTTTTAAAAATAAATATTCATAAGAGCTTCAATATTTCATGGGTAATTCATCTTCATGCCCAATTAATCTTCGACCCACCTTGTCCCTATTTAATATAATTAATTTTGTGTCGATTATGATTTATTGATTAGCAAAAAAATAATATTATTATTATTTTGCATCAACACAAACAGAAAAAAAATGTTTATTAAATTCATTTGTATAAACAATATCATATTGTCTCAATATTATAGGATTATAATAAATGAATGGAAGTTTTACATAAACCACTCAAATAAATATGCGTGCTGAGCTTGAATTTGAAGGGCACCCATAATCAAACCCGTAGCCGCAGGCAAGAAAAAAAAAAAAAAATGTTTATTAAATTCATTTGTATATATCTTAGAGGCAACATCAATATCATATTGTCTCAATATTATAGGATTATGATAAATGAATGGAAGTTTACATAAACCTCTCAAATAAATATATATGCTAAGGTTGAATTTGAAGGCCACCCATAATCAAACCCATAGCCGCAGGCAAGAAAAAAAAAATTGATTTAATATGAAACAATTAAATTAAAATTATAAAGTTAATTTTCTCTTTTAATAAATTTTATTTTAATTAAAATAATGAAAAAAAATAGATTTTTCCAAGTATTAAAGAATTTTTTGCGAAAACACACTGTATAATATCATTAATCATAACCGACAACTCTTTGGCATAAAGCGGCTACAAGTGGGTTGGTATGATCAGGTATTCCGGTTTACCAAAACCCAACTGCCTCCTCAGAGCCACCAAGTACAGAACTGTCTTTATTTTATACTAAAAAACACTGAAAATAAAAAAAAAAAACAATTATATTTCAATCACCATCTCTCAAATTGTATATCTACAAATGGAGGGAAAGAAGGGAAAAAAAAAACCCAAAAACAAAACTTTTGATTTACAATTATCCACAATTAAACAGCACTTATTGAAGCCAAATGCCATTAATTGTGCATGTATTTTCTTGGGGGAAAATTAAAAGAAAAAAAAGAAAAAAAACATAGACTGTATTTACTGAAAGAAAAAGCTATGTTGGAACGATGAAGATAAGCTCATCGTGGGTTCAAATAAGTGGCAGTCCATCAAATTTGGCTGCTGCGGAGGGATGTTAAATGCAGAGGATTCTGGAAGGCTGAATGGCGGAAGAGATCTCTGACTGCAAGTAAATTAGTTTCAGACAATGTAAAAGATCTATCTGTAAATATATATAGATAAGGTTCTCTAGTCCAATGAAAAGAAAAAGAATAAATTGTACCCATTTGCCATGCATGATGATGCAAGTGAAGTCATTCTAGGCAGATCATTCATCATATTGTTATCAGGAGCAATCAGAGGCCAGAAGACTGCATGGAGAAGAAATATAAGACTTTGTTCACAGGAAGTTAGTTAATTGTACTAAAACATATCACAATGTTAGAACTAACAGTTAATTACTCAACTGTTCTGAGAAATATATGATTCATGCTTCAAAAGTTACAATGGCTGAAAGGAAACCGCATTTGCTAAGCAGCGGCTTCTCAGTTTATGAAAAATGGTGTTCAGAGAGAAAGTGGCAGAAATAGCAAATTCAACTTTTAAATCTGTACCATTATATTTTATATTGAAGTGGGAAAAAAATTGCAACTGAAATATGAAAAATAGCATAGTAACAGCAGGGGAAGTACAGAAAACCGCTAACGTTAGCTAAAAGCAGAACTTCTTTAAACAGGAAAAGTAAAAGAATTAAATACTGTAAAAATCATGAATTTGAATTGTTTTTTTTTAAATTAAAATCTCAAAAAGGTAGTTTCTGCATGCAATTTACTATAGAGAAAGCGGTTTTACATTTTTTGCATTCAAAATAAGCCATTATATAATGCAACAGGATGAGTGACAGACCTAATTGCCCAGAATGGCCCTCATATCCCGCACAATACAAGATTTCCTGCACGTCACCATAAAAGTTATAAGGCTAAATCATCCCCAAAAAAGAGAGCTGAACCAGTTTAAGTGATAATTAAGCACGCGCATATAAAATTGTGATTTGAATTAAAAAAAGAAAATCTAACCTCTTCTGAACGTTGCGAATTGCGATATGCATCTGTAAAGAAAAGACAAGTTAGTAATACATCTCTTAATGAAGAACTAATTTAACTACACAAAGCACGCAATAGAATGTCTCTTAAGCTTAATGCCGATGCTAAGAATATCATTATCATTATTAGCTTTGTTCCAAATTTTTAAGACCGACTAATAGACCCCCCCTTCCATTGTTAATGTTCAGAGCCAAACTTAGTTCTTTCTATTTGAGGTCTTTCTCATAACATCTACTCTTACAGTATTAATTCAAGTCTACTCATTTTGCAACTTTAACACTTAACATATTTCTGCTTGCTTGGCATACTCTTCTACCACATTTCATGCAAATGATGTTAAAACTTCGTATTATTATTATTCTTTCAAATATCAGTGATTACCAAGATTAGTAATGCTGGGTTCCACTCCCAGTGTTAGACCAAGAAAGCAGTCCTCCTCTGATTCATTGTCAAAGTCCCATAGGCTCAAATCAAGCTTTGGATTAGATCCTGAAAACATCAACAAGATATTTAATTCTCGCAGATAAAAAATAAATAAATAGATTCATACTAAAGCCACTAGTTATTCAATTTTGTTCTGTATAACAGGTTAAAAAAAATCACCAATTAGTAATCAGCAGCTCACCAGTTTGATTTGTGTTCACAGGAGGAAGATCCTGGAGGGGGCATGGAACCCATGTACCCACCTGAACAAAGTTCCAATTTTGAGGGAGCTGTAACCAATTAATATTTTAAGATAAATAAATTTTATTTAAAAAAAGGTTAAGGAGTTACATGAAAAAAGGGATGTTGCAATGACTGCTCGGCAGTTAGCCTGTTCTGGGGATTCCAGGAGCAGAGTTTCTGTTTAAATAAATTCAATTACAAAAGACTTGGTGGTATCAGTAGAAACTAAATACATAGAGAATGCCATTTACTAAATAAAGAATAGGGATCTACCACAAATACCTGGATTAAATCAATTGCTTCCAGGCTAGCATTTGGGATGATGCTCGAGAGATTAGCTGGTGGAGCCTTGAATATTGCAGAAGAGAAGGTTATGGAAGCTATAAAATCATTGGAGCTGGATGATCCTCTGGGTAAAATAATCTACCTGAAAGAAATTGAAACCAATGGCTCCAGATAATTCCATCCCCTCTGGCCATATGCTGACATCTGGGGTCCCAAGCACATTGCATATCTTGTATATTTGATCTGTTTCACTGAAAAAAAAATTTCCAAAGTCGGTTAAATTAATATTTGAAGGGAAAAATGTCTAGATTTTATACAATTTTTTTTAATTTGAATACCATATTTTAATTTTAAACAAATTTTAAAGCCACGAAAAACAGTGCAAAATTTTTTTAGGCGGAGAAAAGAGAGGATTTTGATGTTTTACCATTAAACAAATAAATAAATAAATTCATTAATTAAAATAAAAAATACCTTTGACCCGGGAAAAGTGGATATAGTGAGAAGAGCTCCGCCAAAATTGCACCAACAGCCCACATGTCTAGAATTATTCTTCATGTTAGCAAAAGCGATAATGAAATTCCTACATAAGGCCCTATATTGCATAAGTAAATTTTCAGAACAAACTTGTTAAGTTTTCATCACTCCGTGAAATCTATAGCATGTTACTGCTTGCTACCAAAGAATAAGAAACTTATGCAAATAGAAAACAATATAAGAAACTTGTGCATAGATATTATAGTAGTTGAATCTTTCTGAGGAAAATATGATGGCTAAGTTCAATAAAAAGTACAATTTTGATAATGCAAATTACAATGTAAGTAGAAAAAAGATAAGAAACCTAACTTTTGCCAAGAACTTCACAACATAGAACAAAAATTAGAGACAGCAGCTTTCAATACAGGTTTTTCAAACCAACTTGAAAGACTACCTTTTTAAATTATAGCACGGTTTTATTGACGTCAATTAAATTTACAGGAAAGATTTTAACAATATTGAAAAAAAATTTTAAGTGTATGCAGTGATAGACTAATGGAAAGGTTGATAGAGCATACCTATTGCAGGCGAGTAGGCTGAAGATTGAAGCAAAACTTCTGGAGCCCGATACCTTGTTATGCAATATTTAACCATGACTTGAGAAAAAGCACAAGCCAGACAAGGATTAAAGTTAGGAGGGCCAATGAAACATACCATCTAGTAGAAACATAATCAGTATAAGGAGCGTGTGACATTATTTCTCTTGAAAGTCCAAAATCAGCAATCTTGATAATGTCATCTTTCACCAACAAATTCTCTAAATAACAGAAACATACCCAAATGGATAAAATATAAAAAATATACAGCATTATACCTAAAAAACAACCATAGATGAGTGCAAAAAACTAACCAGGCTTCAAATCCCTATGAAAGTAGCCATTTCTGTGCATATAGGCAAGCCCTTGCAAAACTTGAGACATTAATGAGCGTATATCCAACTCTGAAAAAGGACTTTGCCGATCTCTCATGTTTTGATAAAGATTGCAATCCTAGAAACAAAATTCTTGTAGTTAATAAAGAGTTCACAATAACCCATCATATCAAATTTAGTGGCAATCAGGCTTTGAATGTTTCTTTGCCAAACAAAGAACGAACAAATGAATATGCTATTACAGTCGCCATTAAATAATGACAGAGATGCTTCATTCAATGATACTGTAAATAATTTTTACATTAAGAAAACAGTAAAATCTCACGGGCCTACAGCAAATATTACTTTCTGTTTGTAATTCATACTTAAAGTTAAGTTGAAGAACCAACTCCTTACCATGTGCTCGAAAATAAGGAAAAGCTCATAATTCTCCTTGACAATTTCCTTTAGTTTGACAATATTGGGGTGGTTCAGCCTTTGCAGCAACTGCAGAAGCAGGAATTAACAATGTACGCAACATGAAAAATAATAAAACATGGCAGACAGCCCATAGTAAAAAAAAGAGACATACCTTAACTTCTCTGAGATTCAAACACTCTTCCCAATAGTAAAACTTTCTTTTCATTTTCTTAACTGCAACCTGAAAATCATTTAAGATGATATCAGTGAACATTTTTTTCCCTGAATAAGTTTGTCAAATGAAGAAAGTATCATTTATGCTTTCACTACAGATATTTAAATAGTGATTCATACAACATGCATTATAAAATGTAATTTAATTAGAAGCTGGATACTTACAATCTCATTATACTGCAAATTAAGAGCCTTGTAAACATTTCCACATGTTCCATCCCCAATCTCCGTTAAAATTCTGTATCTGCAGAGCATTTAAGCACGAAGCTACAGTTATATCTGTCCACTTAAGCGTCCACTAATCATGAACTAGGAACTAACCAACCTTTCCATGGATACAGTAGAATTTGATCACCACAGGAAACCAGAATCATCTGCAAGCAAGGACTTCAATCGCCAAAACTTCTAGCAGCAGAGATGTGGAGATTAAGCTTTCTGAAAGCTGAGATCCCAAGAGGCTAGTGATTGTATTCTTTAAGTCCATTCACCGAAAAACCTCCCTTACTTCCGAAACTAACAAGTGGAATGAGCTGCAAATAAGAAGGCTTGCTTTGTAACCGTCTGAAAATAAACTCCAAAAACTACAAATAGAATTGCAAATTCTATGTACATACCCACTTAATTCCTATGTATTTACATATCTAACGCCAGAAATTCAATTTTTTATATATATGCTACCCCTCTGCATGAAAAGGTATATTTCAGTTAAAGATACTGAAAACCTTGGTGTAATGTGAAAGATTTGGGTGGTATACATGTAAAAAGTAAAATTTAGCAGTTATTATGTAAACACATAGAAATTGGTTGGTAGGTTTGCAAATGCCCCAAGAGAATTTCACTGGTAAAATACTGTGCAAGCCAAGTAGCTAAACATAAAATCTCTCAGCGAATGGCAAGGCAATCATCCAAGGTCGTAAGGAAAAAAAAAAGGAAGGTAAGACAAGAAAATTCTTCTTTGGATCGAAGGCAAACAAAGAAATTGAAAGTCAATCTTCTCTTAATGGCAAAATAATAATAATAATAATAATAATAAATTTTTTTAAGAAAAACTACTCATTGATAATCCCTGTTTAACGTTAAAACCTGGCCATTGATCACGGATGTACAAAAAACTGCAGAATTAACTGCGATAGCCCTAAAAACTATTCATTAGCCTTCAAAGATGAACCATAACGGAGAAAACAACAAAGGGCAAATCAAAATCTTTTCCAAACAGCTAAATAATTCTTTTTTAAAAAAAACCACAACACATCAACATTACCATGACGCATCAATTAACGAATTATTCGGATTAAGTGTTCTACACGATAGGAAAAAAAAAAACTTTTTTTTCCGCGTGCCACTATAAATCATTCTGACCAATGGAATTCTCATCAACAGGTAAAACCTCATAATCCGAAAGTTATCTTTGAACAACATACCAATTTGTTAGCAAAGGTTTGAATTAATGGCAGAGTTGCACAATTATAAAAAAGTAAATTTCAAGACAAAAGGTCCTCCACATAGCATCATAAGCAGCGGGGGAAATTTTTTTATCAATGATACATGGATGAAGGAATCAAGTAGACCCAACATGGCTTCCCCTAAAAGTATTCCAAAAAATAAGGTAAATTCATGAGCGTTCAGAGGGACATATAAGAAAAGAAATCAGATAAATATTCAAGAAATCATCAATTTAAACCGATTTCCTAAAAAAGAAAGAAAATCCAAGCTTATGAGGGAAAGAAATAGAGCGAATTTCAATCGAATAAAAAAATTTCAGCAATCAATAAATGCACATACAAGAGGGGAAAAAGGGGGAGAAAGAAGGGGGGAAGAATATGAGAATACATTTTCATTAATTCAATAAACAAATCATTAAATATGTTGATTCCCATCTACCATACATCAAAATCTGTTACAAACGTCACAAGAAACTACAGAAACTTCTCTAAAATTTATAACGATCGAAGAAATTGGAAAAAAAAATCAAAAGAAATTAAAAAAAATGCTTTCAGCATCCATTAAATAAAAAAAAAAAGAATCTCTTTCGCAGCGCCTAAATGCATCATTCGCACTCAAAAACAGCAACATCAGGGTTGCGGATAAGTAGAATAAAAGATAAAAGAGATCGCACCATTGAAACGGCTTCAGATTGAAGATGAACAGAGAGACAATTTCTCCAACAATATATGATCTCGGATGCAGAAGTAGATGAATTGCTTCGTCGGGAGAGGAGAGGGAAGATGCAAGGAGAGGAATTCGGGCTGGGAGCGAGGGGGAAGGGAGAAGAGGAAGAGGTCCTTGATCATTATTTAATATTTCTATTATATTACTAAAAAGCCCTCATTTTTTGGTTGAAATCACGAAAATACCAATTCGGTGGTGGGCGCATTGTAAATAACGATTGTTCTAGGGGCGATTTGATTTGTTTCCGGAATCGTAGCGGTTTCCGTTTCAAAAAAAAATTTATGGGAAATAGGGGATGGGATCCGCCCAAAACCGCCGGGCTGAGACCAAATCCGCGTGACAGTGGGGTGGGGTGGGGTGGGGACCACTAGAAGTTAGATTAATTAATTAAGTAAATAAATTTTAATTATATATTCATATTAATTTTAATTAAAAATATTTTTGATAAAAAGAAAATTGAGAGTACAGACAATTACATGCGTCAGACTCACATAAGTAGGGCTGTAAAAAAAGCTCGTTGTTCGCGAACAGTTCATGTTCGGTTCGTTAATGAGTTCGTGTTTCGTTCGTTCGATGAGTAAACGAGACGAACATGAATATTTTTTTTCATTCGGTTAGTTAAACGAATCAAACACGAACAGTGATGCGGTCGTTTCGTGTTCGAACCGTTATTGTTCGAAATATAAAAAATTTAAAATAATTATATATAAAAAATTTATGATATTTTAAAAAAATAAATTTTATAAATTATAATATATAATAAATTAATAATAATATTAGGGATGTCAAACTGGCTCTTTGTTCTCGAACAGCTCGTGTTCGGCTCGCTCGTTAAGAAACGAACACGAACAGTGACTTCCCGAATAATTTCGAATACGAGCTTATTTCAAACAAACTAAATTTCAAACGAACCAAACACGAACACAAGCTTTGTTCGTTCATGTTCGGTTCTTTTACACCACTACACATAAGTAGATATATTTCAAAATGAAACTCCAATTTCATATATTTTTTAATTTTTATCTAATTGTGTAAATATAGTTAAAAATGACATAAAATGCAAGATAAAAAATATAGGAAACATTTATGTTCGTATGCAATTTTCATAAAAAGTTATCTACATATCGTGCTCTCTGCAACTGTAGTAGCAATATACTAGCATTGCAAAGATTACTATTTATAAAATTTAGTGCTAGATTATATTTTTGAGCTACTGATCTGATATATTTGTGGGAGGGCACATTTTTTTTTCTATGTATATGCGTATGCAATTTTCATATTTATGTATATGCCACCTAAATTTATGTGTGCTTTTGTGCAGAAAATCTTATATTGATACACACACACACACACAGATCAAAATTTTGAAGACTAAAAGCTGGGTTGGCTAAACTTGAAATCATGAATGTTTATCTTTTCATAAAACTGGAAAAAAAAAATGGAAGAAGATAAGAACACATTTAAAAATTTTGAATTATTGGAGAAAATGTTTAGAAGATTGGATTCTCAGATTGATGAATGGGCCGATCGGTTGGACGTTCTTCTGCTTACCCAACCTGAGCAACCAACATAATTGCAGCTGCTTTCTCCTCTTAATGACAACTAACTTCTTCCTTTCACCTTCGAGATAGTCCCGTCCATATGGTTTTCCAAAGGCAAAATAGTTCAGATCTTTATTGGGGAAGTCATCCTAGGGATTTTACACGTTCTCAATCATAACACTCGAAAGACAACCAATTAAAATGATGGAAATCATATAGCAAATAAGGAATGAAAAGGAGTCTCATTGTGCCTTAATTAAAAAAAAATCAAATGTGCAGAATTAGGAGAGTTTAATTATTGAATCATTGATTAATCATAAATGAGTCTGCTATTACAATAAATTCTCTTATTATTATCATTACGTTTAATTTCAAGAATAAAATCGGGGAACTAAAGCATGTACATAAAAAATATGTCAGTGTTGATCATGATGAGACCAAACAGCTTAGAAGAAAAAAGTACAATGAAGAAAGACCCACTGACAAAAGATCATAAAGTCTACATACTCCGATCGAGTGGAAGTTATGAAGACCAAATTGAACCACGATACTGGCTAAAACGACATAGGATACAAGAATGAGACACTCAACCATAAATGAGACAAAAAGGTATTCGAGCTAACTACCATAAGAGAGTTGTTCTAAGAGAAGATCCAACTCATTGGCATCTGCAACCATCTTATGGATGCTCATAGGTCCTTCACTAGTTATCAAGGCTTGACAACAAAAATAGATCAGCCGATCGACTCATGCGTACTGGGCTTAACTGACCGAGCCAATCCTAATGACTGAGCCAATCCCACCGACTTGAAGACAATTAAGCTTGGCTGGTTGAGCCAGAGAGCAACCAGAAGATAAGCTCATACAAGTAAAATACCAAAAATATCATAGCACAAATCCCTTTAATGTATGGGCAAAAATGTAATATTATCATTATATCATCTCCCCTATAAATAAAAAGTTGGTGCGATCTCGTTTAGCTTTTATTCTACAATGATGCATTTAGTCAATGTAAAAGAGAGTCTTTGTTTGATTTATTTCTTTTCATTTTTTTCCAATTTCTTTTTATGTGTGATACTCTTCGATCGTTATAAATTTTAGAGAAGTTTCTGTAGCTTCTTGCTACGTATATAACAGATTTTTATGTATGGTAGATGGCAATTAACATATTTAATAACTTACTTATTTAATTAATGAAAATGTATTCTCATATATATATGATTATTGGCTAAAAATTTTGAAGACTAAAAGCAGGGTTGTCTAAACTTGAAATTAGGAATGTTTATCTTTCCATAGAACTGAAAAAAAAATGGAAGAAGATAAGAACACAATTTAAAAAAAAAATAAATTATTGGAGAAAATGCATAGAATACATATTTGGCATTAGAGCTGTTAATGATTTGATCTCGAGCCAAGCTGGGGTCATCTCAGAATCGGCTTCGAAAAATTCGATCCAAATTTTTGGCTTGTTTATTTCGATCCGATATGAATCCGAGCCAAAATTCAAATCAATTTTTGATCGATTAACGATCTCCAAGCTGAATTCACTAAATTCACAGCCCTAACAACACTAAAACTGTTGACAATCTAAACTTGGCTTGAAAAAAATTCGATCCAAAATTTTGGCTCGTAGCTCGGCAGATTTTTTTTAAATTGATCTCGATTCAAATCAATTTTCAAGCAATTTTAATACAAAGAGCCAGAATCGTTATATTGATGAAACCAAAAAACACTTTTAATACGACGAGCACAACACATTTGATACATCCACAAATCAAAACTCCATACCATTCTTTACTATTATAGAGAGATGGTGATGATTGTATGCAATTTTATAATGTATTTATGCTTTTTTAATGAAAGCAAAGCAAAGCCAATGGCAATCATTATAATAATTTCAAGATGACATAATGATCAAATATAAAGCTGGCATGAAATGATGATAGGCTGAAGAGGATGGACAAAGATTGGATTTTTAATAGCCGTTTGTGCCAAGTATTCAAATGGAAATAAGAAAAAAGAACATCTCATAGACTATTAGTTCCATAATGAAATATTATTAGCATTAAATTGATTTATTGCGGTGGATATTGAGCGAATATTTCCTTAAAAAATAATGGCAAAAGTATTTTCTTAGGCCTCTAAAGTGCTTGTAATTTGTAAAGGCTTTGAAATGGCTATAAATAAAATATATAATTTCAAGATGCCTTTTTTATATAAAATTTAAAATTTAAATTAGCAAAAAATTAAGAAAAATTATTCGAGAAAATATAAGTATTTACTCCCCTATTTTAGTTTTCATTTATATTGTTTCAAAATTTAGTTGATTTAATTTGAGATATCATTAGAACAAATGTTAACAAAAAATTCAAAATTTTTGAATATATATATATATATATATATATATATATATATATTGATAGTGTAATCCAATTAGAGTACATAAGACCCCCTCCTTTAGGACTTTAAAAGATCACAATTTTACTTCTGCCGCTTTGATTTACATCTACAGAATAAGCTAGAAACTATTTTGCAATCATCAAAATTACAAGCGGAAGCAAGTATTCATTATTGCTTAATTTCAGGTTTTGGTCTTCCTTGTGATGGGGTTTGGATGAATTAATTGTCATAAGCAAGAACTATGGCATTTGGATTTTTTTCATGTTTGTTGAATCTTAATTTATCTATGAATTACAACCAAGAAAAAGTGTGTAAGTAGAAATAAAGAGGGTGGTAGGAGGTGGAAGTGAACAATAATGTGTGTGTGTGCGCGCGCGCGCGTGTTTATTCACAAAATATTCTCATATGGGAGAGAGTACTTTGATGATGTTATATTTTCCCCTGCTTTAAATAGGTATGTATTGAGGGATGTCTTGTATTTTACATGTATGGAGTTGTCATCTAGTCGCTCTCTGGCTCTGCCAGCTAAGCTTAATTTGCTTCTAGAGGACAGGATCAGCCCAGTCGACTGAGCTTGATTGGTTTAGTCTGGTTGGATCATTTGATTTAGTGTGATTGTTGATTCTTAATAACTGGTATGGGGCATCTGGGCATCCCCGGGATGGTTGGAGAAACCGATTAACTCGATCTTCCCTCAAATTAGCTTTCTTGTGGTAGTAGACTCATATATTATTTTGTCTCGTTTCTAGTTGAGTGACTTATTCTTGCATCATGTGGTCATCTTTTACTTGTCTCATGATTCGGTTGGGTTTGGCCTTGCTGGTTTGGTTTTTGTGGCTCTGCTGATTCAGTTAAGTAGGCTACATATCTTAAGTTTGCAGTTCTTCCTTCACCGTAATCTGTCCATCTAGATCGTTAGATCTCCTCAAGTTCGGCATTGGCTCATTAGCTACTTCCATGTAGGTTTAAGGAGGATCATCCGGGTAATCAACCCCACTATCCTCAATCCAGAGTCATCTGCCCTTGGCTAGTGCTTGTTTCGTTATCATTGTCACCTCGGTCGGATTCTCGCTGATGCCATCCAGAGCTGGATCCTTGCCCAAGACTCTCAAAATAGAGTCATATACACCAAAAGATAACG